AGAACAAGCCAACTTGAGACAAGCCCAGCTCCACTCTTTTAATATTAAGGCCACTTAGTTAACCTCAGTGGGCCCCAGCTTCCTCTGTTAGAAAATGGGTCTAATACTATCTACTTCCCAAAGTGCTTAGAGATGATGTACATAGCCCAAGTAAATGTTTGGGAAAGGGTAGTAATTACTAATTATACCTTTTTATATGTTATATAAATATAAATATGCTGTGTTTTCATTAGTATAGTTCTTATCTGTATGCTGTTTTTACTATAAGCATTAGAAAAGGGCACTGCTCCACAAGAAATCTTAACATCTTCATCTTTTCTGAACTGATACTGGATCCCCATCCCCTGGGCTGCGGACCCCTGTTAGGAACTGGGCCGCACATCAGGAGGTGAGCTGCCAGTGAGCCAGTATTACTGCCTGAGCTCCACCTCCTCTCAAATCGGTGTGAACCCTGTTATAGTGAACTGTGATGCGAGAGATCTAGGTTGTGTGCTCCTTATGAGAATCTAATGCCTGATGATCTGAGGTGGAACAGTTTCATCCTGAAACCATCCTAACCCTGCACCCTTGCCACCGTCCGTGGAAAAATTGTCTTCCATTAAACCAGTCCCTGGTACAAAAGAAGATTGGGGACCACTGCCTTAAAGTATCCATTGTATATAATTAATTAACTTCAGATTATTTTCTATATTCTGTGGTTCAGATGAGGAGAGGAAAAAGATAAAATAGGACATAGAATATAGAGTATAGAGCATTTAAAAGAAATAGAGATTCAGGGCCTCAGAGAGCTCCACTTAAAGAATATTGGGTCAGGATTATGTCCCTTACTAGCTGCTGTGTCCCTAGGTTCAACATGAGCTTAGCACAGAGTAGGTTCTAATATATATTCGTTGGATTATTGGAATGAATGAATGAATGATCAATGATAGGTGAGAGAAGACCAAGTATTTTTGTGAAGACTGTTTACCTAAACAATTGGTAAGACCATTTCTGAAAACTTAACTCTGTACTACATATGCATGTAGATATACATAGATGTTTGCCCCCTGCTTGCGTTCATCTGTTTAAAGAGTTTTTTATTCAGACGCCATACTTCTTTGATCACAATCTCTATAGTCTAAGCCATTTTTTGGCTAACAGTGTAACATAGGGATAATAATTAAAACAACAGTAGCAATTTACAATGCCAGGTACTGTGCTGGGTCCTTTACATGGATTAATCCTTACAACAGCCTATTATAGTAGATTTTAGACAGTGTGGTTTGGTGGTATACCCAAGATACAGACCAGGCGAACTGACATCAGAACCCATGCTCCTGAATACTGCAATGCAATGCATCTTTTGCTATGAAGATAGAGATCATGTTGACCATTCCCTGTGCTCGATGTTCACTATTCTTGGAGTAAACCATAGGAAAAAATAGCCAGGAGCCTCTTTTTGAGAGTGAAGTTTGTAGTGAACACATACTGGTTCTCACTGTCCAACATCTCTGCCTTTTTCAAATGAGGATAGTCACTAATATAACTGGCAAACTACTCTTTCTCCATTAAAGATAGTCTTAACAGGAGGAACTCCTTTTGGTTTTTACCAAATCACCCATTAATTATTCTCTTATTTCTCAAGATAATGAAATTACAAAACTGAAAGATACTGTGCTCTAGTTACTTTTAGGAGAGGGAAAACACTCTGCTCTCAAGAGAGGATTGACATGAAGAATATGAACATTTGCATGACTCAAAGCTACTGTATTCTCTATGTCTAACACCGTTGGTAGGATACATGATAGCTCCTCAGAAAGTTCTGTGGGGTGAATGGATATTTATATGGGTGGATGGCTGACTGTACAAGCAAGCTAAGGTTGCCATGATGCTACGATAGAGTTCTTATAATACCAGTCTCCAGACATGGCCATCACTGTGTGGTGCACTACCACAGAGGAGCACATACACTCAATTCTAGGCCTAATGACTTAAGTGTCATCTGGATATTTTTTAAACTGTTGTATCTAATACATTTTTTTTTGAGATGGGGTCTTGCTCTGTCATCTAGACCGGAGTGCAGTGGCATGATTTTAGCTCACTGCAACCACTGCCTCCTGGTTTCAAGTGATTCTCACGCCTCCGCCTCCCAAGTAGCAGGGATTATGGGCACACACCACCACACGCAGCTAATTTTTGTGTTTTTGGTAGAGATGGGGTTTCACCATGATGATCTTGAACTCTGACCTCAGGTGACCCACTCACCTCAGCCTCCCAAAGTGCTGGGATTATAGGCCTGAGCCATGGCGCCCAGCTGAAAACATTTTTTTTTTTGAGACAGGGTCTCACTCTGTCCCTGAAGCCTGAATGAAGTGAAACAATAATAATGCACTGCAGCCTCAAATTCCTGGGCTCAAGTGATCCCCCTGCCTTAGCCTCCTGAGTAGCTGGGACTGCAGTCACATGTCATCACAACCTGGCTAATTTATTTATTTTTTTTAGAGATGGGGGTCTCACTGAGTTGCCCAGGCTGATCTCGAACTCCTAGTCTCAAGCAGTCCTCTCTCCCTGACTTCCTAAAACTGTGGGATTATAGGCATGAGCTACTGCACCTGGCCATAAAAAGCACCTATTTTGATTATATTATTTACTCATTCTTTTTTGTTGTTGTTGTTTCCTAATTGTAGACTAGTTCACGTATATTTTTAGATTTTGGATAATTAAAGAATATGTATGAAATGTTGTCTCTTCATTTTTTATTATTTTAAAAAGTTTAAATAATGTGACTACAGAAAATTTTGAAAGTGTTTTAAATAGTACTATTTCAGTTTTCTAATAAAAATGCTAATATTCTTGTGATCTTTCCATTGTTTTTCCATATCTCCTTAGAAGTATTTTAAATATTTGAGATTATATCTGCAAAATTATCTTTATAATGTCAGTTGCTTTTTTTAAGAAGAGAGGTAGAAAGGATATACTGCAGCTCTCTCTTAAACTCCATGAACACTACTGCCTTTGCATGCTCTAACCGTTAGAAGCCAGAGGCCTGAAATTGTTTCAAGTAAATGAAGAATAGCTAATAAGAGGTGATGGAATTGAGTGTTTCTTTGATATAAGAAGTCAGGATTCCAATTGTAGAAAAATAAAATTTCATAGATTTAAATGCATCAACTTCAGTTGGCATAGTTTTATCATTAGATTGTAAACCATCATGGATAAGGCCAAAAGTTTGTTACTGATCTCATTATGCAAAACTGTGGGTTATTTTTAACATTTGATTCAAAACTTTTTTCTCTTTAAAATCTCATTTTTTAAATTAGTGGATAATAGAAAAAAACACTACTTTGACAGAAAAACGTAAGTTTTTATCCTTTAATAGTCATTTATCCTTTAAATTATCATTTAATATATTAGTTTTTATCCTTTAAATTATCATATAATATAATAACATGTTTTTTCTTTTTTTCTTGCCTGCTAGAAAGTGTACATCTGAATTTTAATTCTTAATCCTAGTAACCATTTTAGCATATGCTATTAGTACGTTTGCTTCTATAATACCTCCTCCATATAGGTTTGATTTTCCATTTTTATTTTATCAACCTTACTGCAATGTAATTTTATCATATTTTCCTATAAATGGGGTATAAATTGTAAATGAATCTGAATTTTGGATGTGCACCTGATTTTATTTTTAATGACGAGTTTTATGCACAGAAAGAGCTTACAGATTTAGCTGTGCTAGCATGTTCTAAAATAGTTCATAGTCTAGTTGAAGAGATAAAAAAATCTTTCTTCTTCTATAATCCCATGGAATGCTTTTGCCAGACACAATAATTCATAACCCTTGTTTTGTAGTAGGGTGGTCACAGAGCGTCTCCAAAATTCTGATGAGAGTTATAGACCCTCTCATCAGAAAAAATATATAATGAATACACACACAAACTCATCCAGTGTCATAAGTAGTTTCAGAGGTCTACAACCCTATAAACTCCATTGAATTCCTGGCTTAGAACTGTTGTCTTAGAGTGTGAAAAAGGAGCTAACATTTATTGACCATAAATTAGATACCATTTTGAACCCAAAATGTCCAGAGTTATTTCTGCTGCCCAGTACTGCCATTACCATCACTTCTTCTTACTGCCCCAAAGATCCTCCAAATACTGTTGTCTTGAGTAGTAATACTTGTTGGTTAAACTTTTATCTAACATTTCTTAAAATATTGGTGCTAATGCATAGCTAGGTCTTTACCAGTATCAGTATTAATTAAATTGAAAATGAGATGAAACTCAGCCAAAATATACATCTCTTTGAACACATGGACACAGGGAAGGGAACAACACACATTGGGGCCTATCTGGGGGTAGGGTGAGGGGAGGGAGAGAATTAGGAAAAATAGCTAATATATTCTGGGCGTAATTCCTAGGTGGTGGGTTGTGAGGTACAGTAAACCACCATGGCACATGTTCACCTGTGTAACAAACCTGCACATCCTTCACATGTACCCCAGAACTTAAAAATAAAAAATAAAATAAATGAATAAAGAGAAAAAGGTACATCTCTTTGAATTTAGTAACTTTTAAGAGGTGAATTTTATGTGTTTGTCTTTGAATTACATCCTGAAGATTTTTTTTCATCCTAATGAAACTAATGCATAACTAAACCTTGAGCATGTTTGTCAGATGGGGAGAAACAGAAAAATAAACATGACTTATTAATGATCTAAAGAAAACCTATCCTTAATGAACTCAAGCATGCTGATATAATATAATACTGAATGAAACCTTTTTACCATCATGAGTGGAACTGCCTGAACTGGAATTGTGTCAGCCTTAAATCCCTAGCCTCATTTATTTACCCAGAAGTGAACACAATTAGATGTTGCTTTATAAAGACATGTTCCTGCTAGGACAGTGTCTGATCGTCTGTCCACAAGATGTGGCAGGTATGGGTTCCCAGGCACATAAAGAGAGATAAGTAATATGAGTACATGGCATACTGAATGTAGTCTCTCTCTTTACTAGACATTTGGGCCTGGACCTGGTGCCTCGGAAGGACTTTGAAGTAGTGGACTCGGACCAGATTAGTGTCTCAGATCTCTATAAGATGGTAAGAAATCTAATATGAGGTAGCTTGTTCCTGCATACCTCATTTTTTCTCTTTTGTTTATTTTCTCTAATGTTATGAAACAACATTGCTAAAATTATTATTTTTTGCCTCTTTCCCAGTGTATTTAAGTGATATTTCTTCTTCTGGCCATATCTATCACTCTAGCTTTCCAAATGGGATTCCAATGTAGTAACCTACGGATACTGGGCTTACTAGATTATCTAAGCATTACTTCTTTGTTGACTTTCCTGGTAAACCAGAGCTCCTTCAGCCTGCAGCATAACTCAAGTTATGTTTCTTTCCTCTCATCTGTTTAAAAGAGAAAGTTGTTAAAGCTGGAAAGAGCCAATTATTAGGTAATAGAGAAATTGAGCCTGGAAGTAATGTACCAGTCTTTCTAGAGAGACAGAACCTGATATAGATTCTTAGCTATCTGTTGGTTATTATAAAAATCTATTGGGTTGACTAATCAAGATTACATTTTATAGTCTGGATGCAAAGTGAGTAAATGAAGGGTACAATATTTTAAAGTAAAATAAATAAACAGAAGAAACCTTAGGTGGTGGCAGTTATGCTTAGACTAACAGACTGGATAAAAACTTATTTTGAAGAGTATGTATTTGATGAGTATGTATTGGTGAGATTTATAAGTTTTAGAGTCTGTTTAAGAAACTGTAATATTTTTAGGGAACTTAGAGGGTACTAAGTATATTGCCTGGACAAGGACCTAACGAAATTTGCCTAATATGCTAATAACATATCAATTGCTTCTGCATATTTCCTTGTGTGTACTTACTAGCATACCCAAGCAATTGTGTACAGTTGCTTTAACTATGCTGTATGCAATGCAATAGGTTGATAAGTGTGAGATACAGAGATTAAAGATAGCTGGATGTGGTGGCATGCACCTGTAGGTACAGCCAGCTACTCCGGAAGCTGAAGTGATAGGATCGCTTGAGCTCAGGATTTTGAGAGCAGCTTGGACAAGATAGTGAGACCCATCTATTTAAAAAACAAAAAGTATGAACAAGACTTATCTATTCCCTAAAGAATCTCACTATCTAGGATATTGGTTTCTAATCCCTTTTGGGTCATAGAAAATCAGGTGAAACTTTCTCCCAGGACAATGCAAGTATGCTTTGCATACAAAGTTTTATGATCAGTTTTAGAGAATTGATGGATAGTTTCTCCTGATGCTTGCTGTGAAGCCCATGCATGGACCGTATGTTAGAAACTCTACTCTAGTGGAATCAATAGACCACAGTCAAACAGCCATACGTGTGCTGCATGTATGTGCTGTGTAGCATAATTTAAGTATACACTGATGCTCTTAGAGGTAGTGACTGGTTTCCTGGGAGTAGGAAAGGAGAAGGAAAGACATTCCAAAAAGGCACACAGCATGTGGAAGTGGCAGTTCCAGGAAACTATATAAGATATTTAATAACTTCAGCATGGAGTACCACTAACTCATGTTAGTGGAAGTCAGGCCAAGAAGGAGACAAAAGTCAGACCATGAAGAGCTTTGTATTTCTCAAATTAGACTCTATCCAGTAGTCTGAAAGAAGCATGAGAGTGACATAAGCAGATATTGATTTCAAATGTTGACTCTGTCTAGAGATAATATAAAATGCAAAAGACTGGAATGAGGGAGGAATCCCATGCATAGAATTCAGAGACCTACAGTAGTGATTCAGGTAAGAAAAATGGCTAGGCAGCAATGGACAAGAAATACAATAAGAATGTAGATGTTTGGAATTAAAACTGATAAATTTTGATGATCAATTAAATATGGAAAGTGAAGAGAGAATGAGAGTTTGAAACTAAGAATTCCCCTTGGAATAGTTGGAGGATGCTGTGTTCTTGATAAAGGTTTTGGATTCTATTCTTAGTGTGACAGTAAGCTTGTGAAGGTAATTGAGCAGGAGAATCACATGATCAGCCTTACATTTTTAAAAGATGCCTCTGATTGCTGTGTGGAAAAGGATTGGAGTGGGGCAAGAATAGAAGTAGAGAGGAGTCATTCAAGCAGGAGATCTTAATTTCAGTAGCTTGAGCTAGAGCTGGAAGAGTGAAACTAGTAAGAAGTTGTTGGATTCGGAATATATTTTGAAGTCAGAACCATAGTTGTTGATAGATTAAATTGCCGTACGTGTATACAAGAAAGGGAAAGGTCAGAAAAGAATTATACCTGTGTTTTTGACCTGCCTAATTGTATAAAAGTGAAATGGGAAACCTTGTGGAAGAAGTAGTTTGCAGAGTGAGGCAGGTAAGGATCTATAGTTCTGATTTTCTTTTCACGTTTGAGATGCCTTTTAGACATCCCACCAGAGATGCTGAAAGACTAGAGCTCATAAGTGAAGTTCAGATAAAACAGTTTTAGAGCCATCATATTACATATGGTATATAAAGCTGTAGGGCTGAATTAGATGACCACCCCCTTGCCCAAACCTTCATACGGTGAAACCCAGTGGCCATACAGCACTTCCAACCAAGCATCAATAGGCAAAGCTCTCACATAATGTTCACTATTTGGGTGATGGGTACACTAGAAGCCCAGACCTCACAGTTTTGCAACATCCATACAACGAATCTGAATCTTCAGAAAAGAGAGAGACAGACAGAGAGAGAGAGAAAGAGAAACAGAGAGAGACCAAAATGAACAACATGTAAAAGGACCTTGGAAGAAAGAGACAGCCCAACAGAAGAAAATGGTGATTGCTGTCTGCAGAGAGAAATGAGGAAACAGTTAGGAAACAGAGTACAACAATCCAAAGAGCTTTACAAAATTAAAAAGCATTACACTTGGAATAAAGGTTAGAAAATAGAGAAAAATCTCCCTGAAAACAGAACAACAACAAAATAAAGTAACAGTAGGAGAGAAAAGGTTTAAAAGTTTAGAGGTTCAATTCAGGAAGCTCAGTATTCAGAAGAGAGAATAAAGAAACAAAGAAAGACAATTACTGAAGGAATCATATTAAAAACTTTCTCAGAACATGGATATGAGTCTCTAGATTTAAAGGGCCCAACATAATTATGAAATTTCAGCTCACTAGAGATAGAGATGAGCTTAAAACTTCCAGAGAACAAAATGGATTACATACAAAGGATTTGTTGTAATAAAAACATTTGGCTTTCTGATAGCAGCATTAAAAATTAGAAAACATAAGACCATTGCCTTCAGAATTCTGAGGAGATATAACATTCAACCCATAATTCTATATTTACTCAGCCACATTATAAATCAAGTGGGAGAGAAGCCTAAAGAGAATTTTGGTCACTCAGAGTCTCAAAACAACAATAATAACAATGCTGTTTAACTCCTTTTCAGGAAACTACTGAAGAGTAAGTTATTCCTTCTAAAATGAAGGAGTAAATCAAAAGGTCTACTGTGTGTTATCCAGGAAAGGGATTCTGACACAATTAAAGCCCTGTTTATTTCATTTTCTGCTAAATGTTCTGTCTTTTTTATCTGATATATTTGCTTTTTCATACAAACAGTTAGATATGATAAAAAACAATTAAAGGAGTCCACCAATTTATTAAAAACCACTTAGGATTTATATGTTAAATTGCACAGTAAATGTTTTGGTTAAATCTTAAAAGTTCAAGATTCAAAAGAATATCCTTTTAGAACCTTTTTGTGTTAACATGTGAATCTATTACTGGAAATTATGAATACTTTATATGAAACTTTCTGATTATAATACTCCTTGTCATTGATTTTGGGGAAAAAATCCTATATGAATAAGATTATACTTAAAGTTTACACTCATAGCATTTTTTAATAAAAAAATGAAGCCTCCATGCAAATGTTGAATGATAATGATTGATAAAAGTCTCTTTAAATACACAGTTGGATTTTGCATTCTTTTTGTTTGTTTTATTTTGTTTGTTTGTTTTGAGACAGAGTCTGTCTTTGTTGCCATGGCTGGAGTGCAGTGGTGTGATCTGGGCTCACTGCAACCTCCACCTCCTGGGCTCCAGCAATCTTCCCACCTTAACCTCCCAAGTAACTGGGAGTACAGGTGCGTGCCACCATACTCAGCTAATTTTTATTTTATTATTTATTTATTTATTTATTTATTTATTTATTTATTTATTTATTTTGGTAGAGACGAGATGTCGCCATGTTGCCCAGCCTAGTCTTCAACTCCTGGGCTCAAGCGATCCTCCCACCTTGGCCTCCCAGAATGTTGAGATTATAGGCATGAACCACCGTGCTTAGCATTCTTTATGATGAAAACCAGAGGAAGTCCTTAGTGCTCTTCAATTTTGCATCATAACAACTCTAAATCCATTTTAAACAATAGAAAATTGGTGCTGCCGAAAATACAAAGTATTTCAAAAGGCACCACAAACTATTTTTGTTAATCTTAATTAGCCATGCATCTTTGTGAAATGTGACACTCAAAAATTACATAATATGAGAGTTTCTAAATTGTGGCAAGATGTAACAGAATGCTCACATTATAGCCTCCTGCTTCATTATTATCCATCCACATTATCATGTATTGGGATTTATGTTTGCTTGTTGTCTTCTTGTGTTAATGTTTTTAATAGCTCAATGTTTATACATTCATTTCTGGGATAAATCAATTAGATTCTTTACTAAAAATCAGTGATTTTATATGCTTCATCCTTTCATAGATTCTGACTAGATATGCCTTATATTTCCTTGTAAGACTCACAATATTTAACACAATCCCCAACATATATAGCAGGCAATTAATTTTGTTATTCAGTTGATTAGCATATTCAAAGCTGCATAGTTTCCGTATTGCTAGACTTTTGTAGACTAAATGAACAAGAGACTTTACAGGGCTGAAAATGACTTCTCTACTGGGGAAAAATTGGCAGAGGCAGTAATGTGTTCTATGCCTTTCTTAATTAATTTATATTTTGGATGTACATTGCTAGGCACTTGGAATATAAAGATAAATAAGACAGTGTTTTGCTCCTTGTAAGTGCAAAGTCTGGAGTTATGTAGCAAACAGGGAAAC